TAAAAAATTATTTTTCATAAGAACTAAATTGCAATAGCAATAAAATATATTTTGAAAAAAAAGTTATAAACAAAAAAATTAATTGCAATAATAATAGAATATACCTTATAAAAAGTTACAAATTAAAAAAAATAAAAAACTTAAATAACATATTACATTGATAGTTTTAAACATGTAAAAAAATTCTTTAGTGGTAATTATGATTAAATAAATAATTTTTAAATTAATTTTTTTTAAAATTTGAAATGGATATAATATTTGATAAAGATGAAATCAAATTTTTTGTATATATTTGAATAATAAATTTGATAATTAGATTTGAGATGGATATAATCTTTTTGATAATCTTATTATTTAAAGATTTAATATGAAAAATTGTTTGAGTTTTTAGAATCTTAGATAAAATTGTTTGATTTTTTAATATCTTACATAGATTTTTGAAAAGATAATTTTTTATTTATTCAAATTAAGATAAAAAAAGATGGTCAAAAACTTTGGATAAATCTAATATTTGTAATTTTTAAATATATTTAAAATATTTTGATAATTAAGTAATTTTTTAAATAAAATTATTTGATAAACAACTAAAATTATTTATTAAGAAGATAAAATTCATATTTTTAATTTTTAATTTTAAAAAATATACTTTTATATTGACTTTATTTTTAATTATAATTTGAATAATTTTGATATTTAAATAAATTTAAAATTATGTAATTTTAATTAAAAGAAAGTCCCTTATTTTTTTAAAAAATAATTTTATGTATCATTCAAAAGAGTTATTCGTATAAATATCTATATAACAAATATATTTATCTATATTGTAATATAATATAATATAATATTTTATATATATATATATATACATATTATATAGGATTGGTAAAACAACTTTCTTTATAACAGAAACACGGTATGATTAATATGAAATTGACATCCTTAAAATATGATCAGTACCAAACGTCAGTTTTGATTTTTCCATCAAGTAACATGGGGAACACTAAGTAGTACGAAAGCGATTTTTTTTTCTCGTATTGCAGTGCAAAAGGCGCGTTAAACCCGCGTCCGCACTCCCAACATAAAAAAGCTACATCAACACGCCTACTTTTGGATCACACGCGGCTTGCAGCAGCTTCCCTCTTTCTTCTTTCTACTTCTGTAATCCCACTTTTTGGTTTAACTAATTACATTTTGGAAGCTTGTGCTCTTCGATCATTCAAAAAACAAAAATATCTTTGAGGATAGTAAATTAAGTCATTTTAATCATGATACCGACATAAAATTAATGTAAAAAATAAAATAATTTAAAATTTTAATAAAAATTATATGAATTTTAAAAAATTAAAAAATATATTTTTTATATTTTATTAGTATTTAATATAAAATGAATATGATATTATATATAATATTATGTTATAACATATATATAAACTTGATAAAATTTACTTACGTAGATATTTAGGTAAACAACCTATATTATTAACACATAGGATAATTTTAAATAACTTTATTTAATCAATTATTTAATTTTTAAAAATTTAAAAATTTTACAATTTAGATTTATTCAAATCTTTTCAAAGTATATAAGTTTTATCCTAATTTAAACTTGAAAAAATATATCTCATACCTCACCTATACCAATATATATGAAATATAAAATTTAAATAGTTTTTGAATATTAAATCCCTAAATTTTAGGAACCGTAAAAAATCATGCACTATCTAAATTAATATTCACATAAATTTAAATACATAAAAGTTTGTAGATGAATCACCATTGTTTACCATTTTTTTATCTGTATTTTTCTATGATTTTTTTTAAAACATTATTTAAAACATAAAGGAGAAAGATATTTTATTTCAATTTAAAATTACATACATATCTAAATTTAAAACTATACTAACATCTTTTATCTTAATTTAAAATTAAATATGGATAAATTACATTTTTAAAAATTTAGAATTTTTTAAAATTAAATAATTATCAAATATGATTTCTTCCCCCAATCAATATTTTTTTCTTTATAAAAGATTGAACAATTAGATTTTTGTCACAAAAATATGACATGATAAAGTTTTAAAAATAAATATGAAAAAGTCTTTCGTGATATATCACATGTGTAAATTTTAGTTTTCATACTAAAATAATATATAATTTTAAGAGTATATGTAATTGTACATAAGAGATTGATTTTCTCATTGAGATTTGTATGTAATTTTATTTTTATAATTCAAAACTTTCATAGTATTTATTTAAATTCATTCATAATAATTTATATATAGACGGTTTTGTAATTTTAAATCACAAATTATAGATGAATAGAAATATTTTTATTTATTTATATATAATATAAAAATTAGAAAGAATTAAAATTTTAAATTATGAAAAATATAATAAAAATTCTTTACATTGTACAGGTAAAAAAACTAGTAAATATATAAATTATTAAATCTAATGAATAAAAAGAATCTAAGAACTTAATCCAAATAATTCATCCATAGTTCTTAAAAGATGATTCTAATAAAATTAATGTTCAACTTTTAGTATATATAAATTTTCCTTCCTAAATTTCTTTTAGACTTCAATCTCCTATCCGACAAAAAAAAAAAAAATCTAAAGGATCGAAAGCATGATCAAAATTATAAGAAAAATACCAGACCTGGTGGCATGATTGCATGTCCCATTTCATGCTCCCATCCTTCCACCTCTTCCATCCCTTTGTCCCCCTCTATTTTAACTCTGACATTTTACGCATAAAGAAAAATATAATACGCATAAGTTTTGCAATATTATTTGATTTAGACAATGATTTTTATGTTTATAAAAACTGTTTTGGCAAAATATTTTGAGTTGTTAATTTATATGATTATATTATTATTGATTTTATTGTTGTTTATCGCATGTATTACGTGTATAGATATTGACATAAACGTGTAAATGTTAAGTAAAATTTTCTAATTTGTTGGCATATTTTTGTTTTATCTTTTAGATTTATTAATTGGTTAGGATATTTTATTTTTCAACATATCTATTGAGCAGTTTTAAGTTGGCCACCAAATTTAAATGTTTAAATCCGAGTATTCATAAGTACCATAGGATTGAGAATGCCCAATTGACTTTTTTAAATTTTAAGTTTGAGTTTGAATTTGATTCATCCTTTTTAAATTATAAGTATTATTAAAATATATATTATATTATTATTTTAACACTTTTAAATATATATTTTAATTAAATTAAATAAAAATATTTTTATTAATAAAATAATATTACGTGCTAGAGGATCGGTCAACCTGGACCTAAATAATCTTGTCCCAAATTGATCTAGTTGAGTCAAATCTGTAAGCCCATTGGATAGCCCAATCTATGGATAAGTCTAGTTGTCCCTACTCTATTTTTTTTTTTTTCCAACTTTGCATAAAAGACGTGTTTGTGCACATGGTATTAAATGATTTTATATTTCTGTTTCAAGGAATTGATGATAAGTTAATATTTTTAACTATTATAAATTTTTTATTGAGAATGGAAACACTAAATAATTTAAATTTTAGATTTTTAATTGGAAAATATAAGTTTTATATATATTATGTATGTGTAATTAAAGTTGTAGTGGATGGATTTGATAAAAGCATAACTATTTTACAAAATAGTTATAATTTATTTGTTTTTGAGATCATATGTATTATTTAAAAAAATATATACTTTTAACTTTTCTATTAAGAAAATAAAAAGCTTTAACATAATTAAAGTACTGTTATTAAAAAACAAGAAAGAAATGAACAAAAGGGGGAAATATTGAAATAAAGGGAGAAATATAAAATAAAAATAAAATAATGGTGATATCACGAAAAAAACAAAATAAAAATAAAATGATATGAATTCGAAATTCTTAATATAAGAGTTAATATCACGAATAATTCTTAAAATAAAATGAAATATTTAATGTGATGCTTAAATTTTAAGAATATTTAATATGGAATGATGATACATAATAAATAAATAACTTTAAAAATATCACATTAGTTAATAAATTCATAATTCAAGTATTAATTCAGAGATTTTTAAAATTAAAAATTATATTAAATATATTACTATAACTTAAAGGGCAACTCATGAGATTAACCATTAACATATTTGAATATTTATACTTCAATCTCAAAATAAAATAATGACACAATAAAAATTGTTTTCATTGATAATCTATACAAAGCATATAAATTGCTTCCAAATTATGTTTTCTCCAAAAAAAAAATTATATTATTTTATGTTTTTATATTTGATATATTGTACTATCAATAAGTTTAATGATATCATCTTATTAACAAAAAAATATTAACTCCTAAAATAAATATATAAAAAATTAATATTAAAAAAAATTTACTCATTAATAATATGATATCATCTAATTTATCTCATTAATGAGATTATATTACATAAGATATTACATAAAATCTGTACAACATTGAATATAGATCATGTTTGGTGTGTAGGTGTTGAATAATATACAATATTAATCATTATATATTATATTTGATTTGTATATAAAAAAAAAATTATATGAAAGATTAATTATCTTTTTAATATAAAATTATTTAATTCTCTCAAAATAGAAAAAATTAATTTTAATTCATAAGATTGAACTTATATATTCTATTATATCCATAAAAATTATATCAATAATTTAAATTATATAAATATTTAATAAAAAAATAAGTTTAATCAATAAATAAATTATTTTATTTTAATTTTTATACATATTAAATATAAAATAAAATAAAATTATTTAATTTATTTTTTTTATAATTTCATTTTATTTTATTATATCATAATATCGTGTAATAAGCGTATTTATGAACCCTCATTGGTTTCCTGGGGCCAAGGAAAGTGAGAAAAAGGAGGTCCAAACACGTGGAAACAGCAAGGGACAGTAAAGTAATAGCATTACAGGCTGTATTTAATTGTTTTTTCTGTTTTCCCACCACGGTTATAAAAGCCCAACCCCGCGCTCCAGTTTCTCTCCCACCGCCCATATTGGAAACCAAAATTAGTCCTCCATTTTCCTTTCTTTAAGCATTTCAAAAAACCATGTCGACGATAAAACCAGACACCACCCAGAAAACCTCCTCCATCTCCCAGGAAAACATGGACCAACTTCAAAAAGTGTTCAACCAATTCGACGCCAACAAGGATGGCAAGATCTCGGTAACGGAACTCGGCGACGTATTGAAAACAATGGGTTCTAGCTACACAGAGGAGGAACTTAAACGTGTCATGGAAGACATCGACACCGACAAAGACGGCTTCATCAACCTCTCTGAATTCTGCTCCCTCTGCCGCTCATCTTCCGATGCTGTCACCGCCGCCTCGGAGCTACGCGACGCTTTCGATTTGTACGATCAGGACAAGAACGGCCTGATTTCGGCGAACGAGTTGCATTTGGTTTTGAATCGGTTGGGGATGAAGTGTCTGCTTGATGATTGTGTCAAGATGATCACGTCCGTTGATTCCGACGGTGATGGAAATGTTAATTTCGAGGAGTTTCAGAAGATGATGAGTGCTTCGATGCCCGGTAATGACAACGGATCTAAGCCGTAGGATTGAAGCTTTACGACGATGAATGATTAATTGATGCCCGGTAATGACAAACGGATCTAAGCCATAGTATTGAAGCTTTTCGATGATGAATGATTAATTCAGATGACATGGATCAAAAGTAATGTTTAGGGTTCTTCTTTAGGTTGTTTTCATAAATAATTTCTCCAACATATGAAATTTACCGTACTTGTTGGATTCTCAACTTTGTTGAATGAAATGAAACTTGGCCTGCTTGCAATTTCCGAATATTTGTCTTATTTGTTTGTCTATTTTGATCTTTTTCCTTCATTTTTTAATGAAAATTTCCATTATTTCTTTCTTTGCAGAATCATAGATTCCTGCGCAAGTTTTCTTTTGTCCTAGCCCGTACCAAACAGAAAAGAATCTTTCGGTCAATTAATTTATATTTTTTTTGTAGTATTAATTTTCGTTGAGTTTAAATTATTAATGCCGAAAATATAATAATATATAATATTCAAAACTAAGGTACAGATTCGTCGTTTGTTGTAACCTTTAGCTTTTTAAAAGTAAAAGTAAAATATTCAAAAGTGTATTGGATGTAGAATAAATGGTACTTCTTTGTCCGGATTCAGAAATTTTATTTAGTGTTGTTTAATTTAAATACTTTAAATTATATAAAAAACAACAATAATGACAATACAAATAAAAAACTGCTGCGAATTGAAGGATCAAATCAGTAAAATACATGAAAATGTGATTAAAGAGAATTTTCTCTCGAATGGCTCTTAGAGCTCTAGGATTACTTATTGAACTATTTGACTAGACAACAGGTTAGATTACGCGTGCAAGAACATAAGTGTGCATACGATGGTAAAAGCTTTATAGGAATTTCGGTGATGGTACCGGTTGATATGGGCATAGACATTGAAAAATGTTATGTGTGATGGAATAATAAAGTGGGTAGGTTGGATATGGGTGATATGGGATAAAATTTTTAGGTGATTGATTCCTATAACCCACAATATGTGTCCTTTTATATTTTTTCTTAGGTGGCATTACTTTCTTGGAACTGAAGGTATCACCTGTTTTGATCTTACCACTATTGATGGCATGTTATATCATTTCACCAAAAATTATCATATTTGTAAAATTTTTAATTGCATTGCTACAAGTTTATCATAATATGGTGTCTTGAGAGTATTAAGGAAAAGCACTGTTGTCTCATTTTCATTCAAAGGTGGCAAAATCCTTTTATTTATGGGCATATTCCTTAAAGTTTCATTAGCCTTCTTTTTCATATTTTGTAGTGACAATCTATCAAGAGTCATGTCTAATACATGTTTATATTGGCTAAGAAAAGCTTTAGCGAGGTCCTTCTAGGAATGTATGCAACTTCTATCCAGTTGGACATATCACTTAGTTGCAGACCCAGTGAGACTGTCTTGAAAATATGGATCAAAAGCTTATCATTGTCAGCGTGACCTGCCATCTTACTACAAAACACGACAAGATGGTTCGATGGGCATTTAGTTTCATCATATTTTTCAAAATTAGGAGTTTTAAACTTCAATGAAATTACTAGATTCAGGATCAAATTGAGGTTATTTGCATCAATAACGTCAAAGATATCTCTTCTTTCAATAGCTTTTAGTCTCTCTTTTAGCAAGTCATGCTTATGTTGAATTTTTTTTTTCTCTTTTGACTCAGACATACCCCTTAATTTCTGTTGCTTCCCGAGATCATCCAAATTGGAAACAAAAATTAGATCAATTGGATTACATCTTGGATTATGCTCGAATTGCCCCTGATATGGTTATTGGTTAACCGGTAAGTTCACATTCAGGAATGGATAAGGTTGTCCACCCATATGTGATGGATACATTAGTTAAGGAGCTTGAGCATGGTGTGGTATATACCCAGGTGGGTAAAATGGCTTTTCTTTGACATTGTTGCTTCCATAAGGTCGATTTTCCTTTCTTATAGTAGAAGCTTCAACAACACATTTCCCTGTGGCCATGCCCCCCATTAACTCCCTTAGCTCTATTATTTGTCTTTGCACATCTTCTTACATTTCAACCATCCATTCTCACATATCTTTTTGAGCTTTTTCCATTCTTTTTATTCTAGCTACTTACTCGTTTTCCATAATTCTAACTTGTAACATGTATTGTACGGGTGACGAGCAGATCAATTTCAAACTTTCAACGGTTAAGCTATCTTTAAACCTTTCATTACCACAATTTGAAAAATTATGATGCCATATTATTTTTGTGCAAGCAAAATAATTTTAATTTTAATTTTGAAAACATCATTTTAATGATGTAAAGACATATGCAAAATGAATGTATTGAGAGGTATTTACTCTAAGACATATATATCAAACATTAAAACTTTTCACATTAATTCCAACAAGTTTCTGATTTAGAGAGTCTATCATTTTGGCATTATAGCCATAGAAACATTTAATTTACTTATAGTGATCCTTGGCTTCAACTAAAAAGTTTAACAAACGTTGGCCATAACTCTCAATTGGGTTGACTTATCATATCAAAGTTGCTACTCTCTCAACCATCTCCCTTGCTTTCCTTATTGCCTTGCAAATTTGACTAGCCAGATGCTTTATGTATTGTAGCCTTCCCAAACTCTATGCTTTCTACTTCATACGAGCATCCACTTCAAGATCGCAAGTATATCTTCAATCTATTTTTTTGTTCTACCATTCTTTGATGATTATGAAAAACTCCAATCTACTTTTTTGTTCTACCATTCTTTGATGATTATGAAAATATGGTCTTTATGGTTTTACAATTGCTGTTCTATTCCTTGAATTACTTAGCAAAGTGATTCTTTCTCTTTTTGCATTTCATGGTGTTTTCTCTTTTCATCTTTGATTTGCTCATTTAATTTAGCATTCTCTTTTTGACATTCCATCAATATTGCTTAAGCTGTTGAGTGCAAACCTTCCTACTCTTGCTGTTATCAAGAAATCTTGATAGCTTTTTCCTTATTTTCCTTGGCTTTGTCCTTCCAACATTATATCTTTTCTTGAAGCTCAATCATTTCTCTTTGCTGCTTAGCACCAAATCTAGTGCCTTTTCCTTCTTTTAATTGGGTTTATATTTTTTTATTTTCTTGATGAAAATCTTTTAAATCATTTTAAGCCACATCCTAATCTTGCATCACCTTTTTTAGTATAACTTCTTGAGTTTCCACTTCGTATTTTAGTTGTCCCATATCTTCCTAGATTCTCAAATTTTCTTTTTTTGTTTCAAGTTCTTAATTAACAAGTTTAATTTCTGACAAAGGTTCTTTTGCTCACAAGTTCACTTGTTGGAATAAGAAATTATTTGAAGGGAACATAATACCTCTAGAACACTTTGTTTTCCAAATTAGGTAATTGAGGGTGACTTTATCAAGAATAGGTTATAATCTTAACCTTTGAGTCTTCTTCCATACCTAAACCAACTGCTTCATTGTTCTTAACGAGCCCGTTTTTCTATATGCAAATTTTACTAAAGCAAGTCCAAGTGTGGTAGGGACAAACTGCTTCGCACCAAATTGCCTTAACATCATTAATGGAGCATAACTTACCATTCCTCACAATCCCAAAAGTAGTACCCATGGATCATCTCTACCTTAATATAACATTGGCAAATAAGGCATCCATGGTGCCATCCATTTGACCTGATCACTAGTAAGCCTTTGAAATAATGCTACCCATTTTTCTTTGGATTTCAATAATGGCTATTAACTTTTGCAAAATTCTTTGACTAAGGCTCTATTTCAAAGATACGGCTTGGAAAAATCACTTTTTTTGCATCTGAAATGACTTTTTATCTAGACAAATAGTAATTATGCACTTTCTGTGAAACATTTTCCATTTTGGTGATAAAAGTTCAATGATTTGATAGTCTCAACTAAGATAGCTGGAATGGGATTAATCACCTGACTTTCAATTTGTTCAAATAGATCAACTATTACCAATTCAATATATCCCAAATTTTTTGGAAAAATCACCATTTCGTAAATTATTAGGGTGAACACTGCCATGCTTTAATCATCCTCTAAATGTCTCAAGATGAAATCCTGAAAGAAATGTCAATGTAAATCGACACCTTTACCTTTCTCTTTAGTCAAATTATCTACAGCCTTTACTTTCATTTCCATCAACTTATCTATCTTTTATGGTATCTTGACTTTGGCTTTTTGATATATATCTTATTAGGGTATTGCAATTTTAATCCTACCAAAATCGAATATTTCTCAATGGTTGGTGTCAAATCCATTTCTTTAAATGTGAACATCTATACGATGGTTCCCAAAATTGAACAGCTGCTCAAATCAAATTCTTCTCAATCACTACTGGATAAGAGATGTAATTTGCCCATATGTTTCACACAACTTTTCCTTCTTAGCTTCACCCATGTGATTCCATATGGTTACCAAATCTTTTAAATTATTCTGGGTAAGATTCAAATGAACTTTTTCTGGTAACCCCAATACAAAACCAACAGGTAAACAATCTCTTTCCTTTTGTTAAGTTATTGAGACCATTCATAGATTTCAATATATGATTCACACGGGGTAATTGCAAAAAAAAAAAAAAAACAGACTGTAATACTGTGAGGTCCATGAAAAAGAACTTTACTGAAAGATTTCTAGAGTAAATACCTCACTATTTTATGCCAATGTAATTTATGAAAAAAAATACAAAAGAAAGAAGTTGTTAGCATGAAAGAGAGAGAAAAAGAAAAATAAAAGTAAAAGCTTGAAAAATAGAAGAAACGAAAGGAAAGTTTTCTTGGAAAAGGAAATGACACAAAGATCTTATTGCATTTTTTTTTGAAAAATCAAAATAAATATGAATACCCACATTTATGAGTTTTATTTTGAAAAACACAATACAAATGTTCCCCTTTTTATTATAATATATGGAGTCGGTCTATGAAAAAAGTAGATATGGCTTTATTTCGAATCGGCTCTTATGGTTTACTATATGCTAGGTTCGAATTGATTTACATTAAAGGTCCCCAAATTATTCTTCACTAGTGTCCACTCTGGACTAGTAAGGCACCCGATCCTTACCCGTTACAGGCTATGAACGAAAAATGTTCAATTTAAGTGGGAGTATTTCGCTTGTCATTGCGAAGGTTATCACTTCAAAGGAGCATAGGTACTTTACTCCCTCCTAAAAGAGTTAGAGCTTGAGTATAGAGCTCATGTGTTGTGTGTGAACAAGGGAACAAAATATTATAAACTTATTCTAAGCACTTCATAATAACAAT